GTTTTGGATATGAGTTTGTTTTCATTTTTCAATTTTGAAACATCATTTTTATATTTTAAAAACAATTTCTCATAATCCGAAGCCAACCCATTGTACTCCTCAAATAACTCATCATAAGATAAATCATCAAAATCGTATGAGTTAGAGGTTACCTTAGAATCTTCCCCGAATGCCATCAAGCACAAGTTTGCTACTTCTTGTTCCTCTTCATCGGAACTTTCTTCATCGCTCCATGTAGCCACATGAGCCTTGTGCTTATTCTTTGATTGACCCTTTTTCTTCAATTGTGGGCAATCATATTTGACATGCCCCGGCTTTTTGCATTCATAGCAAATGATTGGGTCCTTCTCTTTTGGTTCATTTTTGAGGCCTTCGTTTCGTTTGAATTTTCTTCCTTGATAAGGTCTCATCATTTTTCTGAACCGTTTGGCAAACAATGCCATTTCCTCATCATCATCATCATTATTAGAATCACTCTCATCTTTTGTGGATTTGAGAGCAACTCCAATATTTTTCTTCTTCTCCTTTTCCTTTGGTGTCTCTTCAACTTTATCAAGGTCCACCTCATCTTCAAGCATCATCTCATGAGTGAGGAGTGAACCGATAAGTTCTTCAAGAGTTAAGGACGATAGGTCCTTAGACTCGATGATTGCCGTCTTCTTTGATTGCCATGATTTTGGGAGGGAGTAGACTAACTTCCTCACAAGCTTTTCATTTGAGATGATCTCTCCATATGATTTGAGACCATTGACAATCGTTGAAAATCTATCCGTCATAGCTTTGATGTCTTCATTTGGTTTCATCATGAAATTTTCATAGCTATGCGTTAGAATACTAATTTTTGATTTCTTTACCTCATCTGTACCTTCATGTGTGACTTGAAGCTTGTCCCATATTTCTTTGGCGGTTGTACACGATGAAACTCTTCCGTATTCATCTGGTTCAAGAGCAAAAAAAATAATATGGATGGCTTTGGAGTTGAGCTGGAACATTCTTGTCTCTCCTTCACTCCACAACCTTGGATGAGTGAGAGGTTTGATGTATCCTTCTTCTACAGCATTTCATGCTCCCATGTCACTTGCTTGAATGAAGTACATCATTCTATTCTTCCAATAGGCATAGTTAGCTCCATTGAATAAAGGAGGCTTGTTGACGGGCATCGAATCAAGACCGGAGTCGAAGTTTGAAGCGGAGGCCATTGATGACTTTAATAATCGATATAACTCTTCCCGAATCGACTCAAGAGGCGATTAAACCTTCAAATGAGTTAGGCTCTGATACCAATTATTGAGTTAATCGATCGACGGAATCGGCCAAGAGGGGGGTGAATTGGCAATTAAAAATTTCGTGGAAGCTTTTGTAGAAAAATTGAAAGTAATTGCACAACGATTTACAGTGGTTCGACTTTCTCAAACAAAGTCTACGTCCACTACCTTAGCTATCCACACTAAGGATTTTTCAACAAATTCACTAATTTGTTCTTTCTTTTGAGTCCAAAGAGATAACCTTACAAAATCCCTCAAGAGTATACCCCAACTCTTGAGAACACTCTTTTTCCCAAAGAGAATATTACAAATTTGCAAACTTACAAGAAAACCTCACAAGGTAAGATGTTTGCACAATTCTAGAACAAGAAAAGAACACTCAAAGATAATTACAAATGAGCACAAATGGTGTTCTTGAAAACAAAGTGAATATTGAAAGGAAAATTGGCTTGATTTGCATAAACTTGATGTTTGATGCTTTCTCTCTTGTTTCTCTATGATTTCTTGTTGATCAAGGGCTTCAGAACTTGTTTAAATACACCTTGAATCTCTTCTGAACGTTGGGGATGATTAGTGAAGATCATATAGCCGTTTTAGTGTGAAAACAATTAATAAAACAGTTTGGAGCGTGGGGGGAATCGGTACCCCCTATGGGGAATCGGTTCCCTAAGTGTAAAATTCAAATATTTAGAAACGTTGAACAGGGGGGAATCGGTACCCCCTATGGGGGAATCGGTTCCCTCCGAGCATTCTGGAAATCTCGGAGCCAAACCATTCAGGGGGGAATCATTAAAACTTAATTTTACACTTAAGTAAAAATTCAAATACTTTGAAAGATTATTTTGAAATTGTTTTAAGATTAAAACTTAATTTTACACTTAAGTAAGGATTAAAAATGATTTTTGAAATATTTTGAGTAATGTTTTGATATTCGAATAAGTATATCGAATATACTTTGAAAATCATTTTGGAAAATCTTAAAATTCATTTAACTTAATTTTTTATATCGAAATATCAAAATGTTTTCAACAAAAGATAATATAAGTTCAACCAACCTATTTTTAAAATAGGAAGTGGAAGTTATGTCAATTTGAACTTGCTGATCTGTTCAATTGAAACCTTATAATACAATCACATTCTCTTGTCCAAAGAACTTTTACGACGAAAGTTATCCTATAGATGTTGTATTCATGTATGTTCGTAATGAGAATCATAGTGGATAGGGGATGGCAGTGGAGTGATAAATGTTGTTAGAAATTAAATAATCAAGCCTAGGGGTCTGAACTTAATCAAAGAACGAGAAAGAATACTTATTAGGGTTTTGTCACAAATTAGGATTCTTGTAGGGGAAGGTTGCTGGAAATCAAACAAGAAGATGACGATTAAAAGATAATGGATAATATATAATGGATATGTAAAAAGAACTATGAAAAGATAAATAAAACGATGAAAGGACTTGAATTGAAAATTCTCCCTGATATGTATAAGCTTTGGCAATAAGATGGCTATGGTGATGTAGTTATCGTGGGATGATGATGATGATGAGAAAGATGAAGGATAAATGTCTTACGAACCCTCCTAGTCGTAATTAACTAGGCAAACTCAATAATTGACTCTAAGCAACCCTCCTAATTGCAATGAAAAGGCAAACTAGGGTGTGAAGATCTCCCTCACGAAGAACTTTAAAGAACCTAATTGTAATGAACTATATTATTAATCAAAGAAATCTGATTTAGGTGAATGGAGTCACCTTTATATAGGATGAGGAGTTCCATGAATCTAAGTAACTGCTAAACAAAAAATAATAATAAACTAAAGATAATATTGTGATTCTATCCTAATTCCTAATAAAACAATAAGAAACTAAAGGTAATGTTTTTAACTCTATCTTAATTCCTAAATAATAATAAATATAATCCTAAAAGATAATACATTATCCTTGTTGTAACCGTCCCTCAGGTGGGCCCGGAATCATGCTTCGACTTAAATAAATGTGTTAGAGCCGCCAACGATCATTTAAAATTAGGTTGATCGGATACCTTAATTAACCATTTTACCTGATCTGCATTTTACCAAAAATATATCGGATTCGGGAGTCGATTACAGTCAAGTAAGGATTAGCACCCTTGTACTGCCCTTTTGGTACAATTTAATTTACTGGTTGTCTTAATTGTAAAAATTAAAAGTTAAATTAAAATTTAAAATTCGATCCGAATCACTTACCTTTGATTGATTACAATTACCCCTAAAAAGTCAAAAAAAAATGTTAGATTGTAAAAAATAAATAAATAAATATTAAGTAAATCAAAGAGAAGAAAAAAAGGGTTAAATTAAGAAAATAAAAAAATAATAAAGTAAAAAAAATTAAAAGAGAAAATGAAAAATGAAAAAAGTGTTAAATTTTAAAAGAAATAAAATAAATAAATAAAAATTTAAAGGATCAAATTGAAACAAATTAAAATTTATGGATCAAATTAATTCTAAAAATGAGTTGCAAGAGAAAAACTAAAGGTTAGGTGACTAAATTGAAAATGTAAGAAATATTATCAATGATTAAATCAAAATAATTCAAAATTCAAGGGCCAATTTATAAAAAGTGACCAAAATGAATTACACATCAAAGTTAGAGGGACTGTAGAAATAATTAAATTATTTCATAATTACAATGTGACCCTCCCTATAAATCCAAAAAAAAATTTAAAAAAAAATCATTTTTATCCCTTTAAAAAAAACACTCTCCCCTCCCCAAAAACTCTCTCAACCTTCTTTCTCACAAGTCCCACGGGCCAATGGTCGACCACCCCCGAGTGACCAAATCCGTCGCCGCTTCGCCCTACCAACCATAGCCATTGGTGGCCGAACAAAATCTAACAACACCAAAATGTTCTCTCCGATTCGATAAACATGAAATCAAAACCCATTCGTCTCTATGAACCCCTCACTAACAATACCCTCCTATAGAAAGAAAAATAATATAATAAAATATAAAATGTTCAGTTTATTTGTAGTTTAATTTAAATAGATAATTATTTTAGGGTGAATTACGCATTTAGTATCTAAACTATCATTTTTGGTCCATTTTAGTATCTAAACTTTCAATTTTTCAAAACCATACCTAAATGTTAGTTTTTGTTTCATTTTAGTACCTCGTCGTTAAAAACTTAACGCATTTAACACTTAAATTATCAATTTTGGTCCATTTTAGTACCTAAATTCAAAATTTAACGTTAAAATTTGAACCGTGATACTAAAATGAAACAAAAAAACTAAACTTTAGGTATGATTTAGAAAAAATTGAAAGTTTATGTACTAAAATAGATTAAAATTGATATTTTAAGTACTAAACGCGTAATTTACCCATTATTTTATATACACAAAACAGACAGAAATAAGACTTGTATGAATTTTAATGCTCAATCTTTGGTTCAAGCCTTTTTATTTATTTTCAATCTAAAAAAATATTTAAAGACACTCAATCATTTTAATATGACTCAAAGAACTATTATTATTTTATTAATACTATCAAATAATAACTCAATCTTTATAGTAAATTTTCTATATATTTAAAATTTATTATTATGTTATTTTTTCACCAAACTGATATTTGAAGAATTGTAGTGCTCTAAAATTAGAAAAATGAAAAGGATATTAAAATTATATTTAATCTTTAATAAGATAAAACAATTGTTTTTATAACACTATAAAAAAAAGAAAAATATATAATTTTTTTTTATCTTCAACTTGGAGTAAATCTTCAAATCAACACACATGTATAGACAAAAAAAAATCATATTTTAATAATTACTAATCAAATCCCTGAAACTCTGAGAAAATTAATTGGTTTTTTGGGGAGAAGAAACACTGGCCACCTTAGGCACATAAACAGGATATTCATCGATTTCATCAATCCATGGACTCTTCTCCTTTGCTGGATTGATGTTCCTCAAAGCTTTCCAGACAGCACTGTTGCATTTAAATCCCGACCCGAATGCGATCTGCCATGTCCGATCGCCTTTTCGGATCCTCCCTTTGGCTTCGGAGTAGGCCAATTCGTACCAAAGGGAACTACTCGATGTGTTCCCGAACCTGTAAAGTGTCATCCTCGACGGCTCCATGTGCCACTCGGTGAGCTCGAGGTTCTTCTCGAGCTCATCGAGCACGGCTCTGCCTCCCGCATGGATGCAGAAGTGCTCGAATGCTAATTTGAAGTCCGGGATGTATGGCCTGATCTTCATCTTGAAGACTTTCCTCGCGACGAGGGTGACGAAAAACAGGAGCTGTTCGGACATGGGAAGGACTAGTGGTCCCAGGGTGGTGATGTTGGTTTTCAGGGCTTCTCCGGCGACCGCCATGAGGTCTTTTGAGAGGGAAACACCGATCCTTTTGGTGTCGTCCTCACGTTGGAAGACGCAATTGTAGCATTTGTCATCGGCTCCTTTGTGGGTACGCACGGTGTGGATGAGTTGATATTTCGAGCGACGGCGGTCGGACGACTTGCTCGAGAGAAGGATCGCGGCACCTCCCATACGGAACAAGCAGTTCGAGACAAGCATAGATCTATCGTTGCCGAAGTACCAATTGAGAGTAATGTTCTCCATGCTAACCACCAAGGCATAAGAGTTAGGATTGACCTGTATCAATTGAAACGTAACATTTAAGTATCCGAAACCTTTTTAATTTTATTTGATCATAATAATATACATCTACTCTTTGAAGTTGGTTAGCCTAATAAATTCAGCCGCACCTACTTGACCCAATTGCCCGTCATAAGCACATGTGCTATAATACATGAAAGAAAGCTTACCCTATGATTCAAATCCCATGTACTGAACCCATATTAAATGAAAGTCGGCTCATTCATAACAAAAAGTGCATCAACATAAAATCATTTATTGTGAACATAAAATTTGATTGTCGAGTTTCTCGAACTCATATATTCATATATTCGAAGTTCAATATAATTATCGAATATCGAAAACGAAAAATAATGAGTTTGAACGTATATGTATACCTGTAAGAGTTGTTTAGCAAGGTCAATAGCAATGAGGCCGGCACTGCACCCCATTCCACCAAGATTATAGCTCAAAATGTTGCCTCTAAGCTTGTACCTATTAACAACCATGGCCGAAAGGGATGGTGTGGGATTAAACAAGCTGCAATTCACCACAAGGATACCAATATCCTTAGCCTTGACACCAGTCTTCTCCAACAATTCATCAATGGCACCGAACATCACCGTCTCGGCCTCCTTCCTCGCCTCCGCCATACACGGGTTCGGCGGCACGCGCAACACCGCCTCCGGCAAGTACGTTTTCTGCCCTAAACCGGACCTCTCGAGTATCTTCTTCTGAAAAGCCAAGTTCTCGTCCGTGAAACTGCCGGTCAAACCAGATCTCTCCATGAAGATTTCCCTGGTGCAGGTGCGTTCGGGTTCGGGCTTGTAACAAGCGAAGTCCACCAGGTAAACTTTTCTCGGACGGCTGGTGAAGTAAAGCGTGGCTAAGAACACTAAAAGGCCTAAACATAGAGTTACCGAGACCAGGTTGAACTTGAGCTGGTCCCATAGTTGAACGAAATCGTTGGGTTTGAGCGTCGAGAGATGAGCCGAAGCAATGCACAAGAGCGGCACCAGCAGTAAATACATGGCGTTGGAGATTAAGTAATGGTAGCCGAGCTTCACGTATTTTAATCTCACTGAAAGAAGAAAATTTGGGAGATTATTGCTGCTCGACGGCGAGACTGTTTGAACCTCGACTGGGTCTGGATTCGAGCTTTTTCTACTCTCTTCTGTCATCTCTTTCTGCTGTGAAACTAAACTTTTATCAAGTTCCAAGCAAAACCCAGATCGGGAAGTTGATCAAGATCAAGAAAAATGGAAACTTTTGGAGTGATTTCGACTTAGATTTTCCCGAGAAAATGAATTCGCGTGGCAAAATGAAGACTGAGTTAATGAGTTGTGCTTTGTGGGAAGAGGTTTAGGGGGAAATTTAAAGAGCTTGGAGGGGAGATGGGAGGATGCAACTACCCCAACGAACTTTTAATTGTTAACACGCCTTAGCATTGAATTTGCCATCCGATAATTTAGTCTTCTTTTTCTTAATAAAAAATAAAATAATAATTTTGTATTTATATATTGAAATATTTTATAATAATAATAAGTTTTGACAAAAATACATTAGAGGTTACTATACTTTTGAAAAAACAATGCATGCGACCCTCGTATTATTTTTCCTTTCAATATAGCCCTCTAACTCATAAAACAAGTTCAATGTGACCATTTGACCAATATTTTTCGTCGTTTCACCATTACGATGCTGACGTGGCAGTCCATCTGTTATGTTTGAGTTATCAATTTAACCTATCTGACATGTTATCTGCCACATTATAAACAACTATGGACTGTCACATCAACATTGTAATGGTTAAACAATGAAAAACGTTGGTCAAAAGGTTACATTATATTTATTTTCTGAGTTGGAGGGTCACATTGAGAGAAAAATAATATAAATGCCATATTAGTTTTTTTTAAGTACAAGACCTCTAATTAGTTTTTGCCTCTTTTTTTTTTTAGTTTTCTGGGCTTCTTTTAAGGAGGAAATTCCATGTTTGTCCACTCTTGTGTTGTTGTATGACTTGAATTCATGGGATTTAGGGTTTAAAACTTGGTCAACTTGTTCAAATGGATAGTGACCTATTGTTAGAATGACATCATTCGTTGGTGAACAACTTAGGTCACCTATGTTAAAGGACCATTTTAGTAAAAATTTCAACATTCATAATGTTATGTTATCGAATTAACATTAACTTGTGATGAGCTAGTGTCGGAGTTACTACGGTAAAATGTGACTCCTAATGTTATGTATATAGTGATTCAAGCCTTTATGTTCTTTTGGTAAGTAACAAAATTATGGAATAAGATAAGGATGCTAATTAAGTAAAGCTGCCTAGAAATTATGATTTAAACAGTAAGTTTAGAAAATCACCATAAATTATACAAAAAATTAGATGATGATCTTTATACTTTTAGATTCTTATTTCTGTCTAGTTTTTTTAAGATAAACGGATACTGATTTTGAGGTGTATATAAAAATATATGAATGTTTAATTGATGATAGGTCAGAAAATAAGGCAGCTGATTCTGCTCAAAATAGTTTCGGTGAGTCAACTTTCAAAATTCGCTATAAATTGTACAAGTTGAACTAGAAGAAGTTACTTATGTGGTTAGATTCATATTCTAGTCTAGTTTCCATTGGTTTAAACGGAATAATTTTTAAGTACGTAGATTAATACATAATAACACTTCTTTGAAGGTGGTGCAAACTACTAGAGTATGAAATTTCGATAGACTTTGTAGTAGAAGCAATCGAAAGCAAATGATTAAACCTAAAGCTTAATGAGTCTTATATTTTGATTTATAAGTAAAGTGTTGAAATGAGTGTATTTTATTTATTTATTTATTTTAAACGAGGACAAATTGTGATAAGTCAACCACACATTATTTTTCAAGTATGTTTTCTACTTTAATTATGGATTATTTTCATAATGTTTTTATGAATATTATATGGATGATTTAGGGTATGAACGGCCCAAGTTTATGTTTTATGAAGATGACTTAAAATATTTTTGATTCTGAAAGGTTGATCATTAAATGATTATGATATGATCTAAAAGCTCATTGTATGTTGCATTGAGAGTCGTAGATACATTTGACATGCAATTAAGTTGAGTATTTTTCAGTTCAGTTATGGTACATTTGTGTACATTATGATCTGCACCGTTGGTGCTCATGTTATGATTGCACTTGGAGTGCATTATATGTTTCAGTATGATTGGCACCGTGATGTGCCAGTGCGCACCTTATGTTCTACTCGCGTACATTGTATTCTCTTACATATACATTGGGCTATACAAATAAATATGAAATTTATGGCAGGAATATGAAAGAAAAGAATATGAAAATGAGATGAAAGTTCTTAAATATGTACGAATGAAAGGAATATGAATTGTTTATGATATTTGATGTTGATTTACATGATTTTTGATAAATCAGGAGAGTATGATTTTCAGATTTTCAAAGGGAAATCAACCTGAATAGCTCGGTTTGAAAGTTTTAATGTTTTTATTTAAATTACAGTTTCATGTTATAATACTTTACGAAATTTATGTTGTATATCACTTTAGTTATGTTATTGCCTCACTAAGTTTTACTTAGTGTGTGATGATTTTCATGTGTAGGTTCAAATAAAGAAAAAGGACATGAAGTGAGGAGTTTTCTGAGTATCTTTTGGAGATCAAACCTACCTACAAAATCAATAAGACATCCTATCTTTGACTTATTAGTGGCATTTACATTATATTTAATGGTGTGCTTTATCGAATTAATTTTATAATGGTCTGTAATAGTAAATTATGACATTTTATTTTGGCCAGTTTATTTATGTTCATATGTATGATTAAATAGTTTATAAATAATATTATGTTATAAATGGTTTTCAAAATCAAGCAGTGTTTAGGTGGTTTTAAACAGATTATAAATAACATCAAACTGTCTAATCGTTGCTTGAAATCAGATTCGTTTTCAACGATTATTTTTTTTATGATTTTATGCGATTAAGGAAAAATTGTTAAAGTTGAAATAGGATATGTTTAAATGAAACAAAATTTTAAGCATTTTTGTACAATAAATGTCTGCTAAGTTGATGTGATTTCTTTAACTCGTATTTTGAGGCGTATACGGACTATGAGTGTTACAACTAGGGTATTAATAGGATTATTATGCAATTACATTATGACTTTTTAAAATTGTCTTTAGGTTAAAAAGTTTACAAACCGAATCAAATTATAATATAATTTTTTTTAAGAAAAAATATGCAATGTCATGTCTTAGAGATATGAGATATTAATCTCACATTAGAAAGGAAAATGAGAGTGTTAGAGTTTAGAAGCGGTGATGTTGCACACCCTATCAAATATGTCTTTTAAGAATAGGGTAATGAGCTCATGACAAGTGATATTATAGTGACCCTCTGATTATTCTATAATGCACTGAATTACAGGTTAATAGTTTCGGGTTTATTAGTTCAGGCCTTAGAATAATTTCCCTAACCCATGAAGCTTTTGACCCAAGAGGCTTTTGATTTGGGCTTGGGATAAGCCCAACAAGCTTGATTTTGGATGCTTTTAACCTTAACTCAAATATGGTAGGACCAGGAGGGTAATTTACCCATTTCTTTTTTGAATCAAAGTTGAATCCCATTAAATGGGATGATCTCACGTTTTAAATTCCCCTCCTCTTTTTCATATCAACCTTGTCTCTTCTTCCTCTTCACTTTTTGTTCATTTTCCTTCAAGAGCTAAGTAAAAGTTGGGAGCTTTAAGTTAATCCATTATTCTATTGAAATTCCAAGGTAAGATTCATCATCCCCATCCTTCAAGCTTTCATTCAAACCCACTTTTGTAAGTTTTATCCAAGTTTCCCAAAAATGAGTTTTAGTGGGGGTTTAAGGAACCATGAGCTCTAGCAAGTTTTGTGGGTTTTAAGTTGTAAGAAAACGTTTTAGACTTCCTTCTAAGATTTAAAATGAACTTACAATTCATTAAAACTCGTTTTAATTAGTACAAAAGCAAGGGGGACCTTAAATACTAGAGGCAAGGAAAAACTTACCCTAAATATAGTTCATTGTATGTGCATTATGGTTTGTTTAGTTCATGAAGCATGCTAGAGTAATTTCTATGGCAAGATTCGTATTTGTGTGTTGCAAGCATGAAAGTTAATACCTTTTGACCTCTAAGACACTAAATAATACGTTAAACATGTTTGCTAGTGTTAAGGGAATTGTTGGGTTGATTTTTGGGTGTGGTCCGAGCTTAAACAAGTCATTCCTAGAAAAAAGATCAATCTCTTGATCAAAAAGATCGATCCCAAACTTTCTATTGTGCAAAAGATTTTTCAAAAGGATCGATCCCTCGAAAGAAATGATCAACCCCTTCGATATTTTGCTCGATGGAAAAGGGTGAAATTGCATTCATTAGTGGTCTGAAGTGTTGAGGAATGTTGTCTTGACCTCAGCATGTTTGAATGAGTCCAGTTTGGTCCATTAATTGTTTTGATTAAATACTTAAACCCTTAATATGGATATCATCGATAATGAACAACTTGACTAATAACATTATGAAATAAAGTGACATAAAACTAGTCTTTGTTTAATACTCGGGAAACGGCTAGGACACCCGAATTACTCTAGCATTATGTTTGTCTGTTATGTTATGTTATGTTATGTTATGTTATGTTATGTTATGTTATGTTATGTTATGTTATGTTATGTTATGTTATGTTATGTTATGTTATGTTATGTTATGTTATGTTATGTTATGTTATGTTATGTTATGTTATGTTATGTTATGTTATGTTATGTTATGTTATGTTATGTTATGTTATGTTATGTTATGTTATGTTATGTTATGTTATGTTATGTTATGTTATGTTATGTTATGTTATGTTATGTTATGTTATGTTATGTTATGTTATGTTATGTTATGTTATGTTATGTTATGTTATGCTATGCTATGCTATGCTATGCTATGCTATGTTATGTTATGTTGATATCCGAATATCTTTTGTTTGGGTACGCATGTGATGCACGTAAATTTCGGGTCGTACCAGTACAAATTTTGATGCACGTAAATTCCAAAATTGTACCTTATGCTCGATTAGGTATGGGATGTGAGCTTCCGTTGCACGTAAATTTCGGACCTCTCCCGACCTCTCGAGAATCTGAGGTAGATTAAGGGCTTTAAGTTCCAATGAACGTAAATTTTGGTTCTTACCTCGAAGCTATCACGTTCTAGATAGACTAGTGTGTTGTCCGAGATGCACGTAAATTCCTATGACCACATTACTTAGCCTATTTTATGTTTGATATGTACTTATGCATGTTTAT